CTAGTAATTGAAATGGCTCATACCTAGACACCATCCCATAATCACAGGATCACAGGGGATAAAGTAAATATTCTAAATTGCCTGGAGATAGAGGTCAGTGTGAACTGGAACAGTACTACGTCACTTACAAATAAACTAGAATGTTAGAACAGAACAGAAAAGGGTGTTAAATATTTTAAGGATTAAACAATGCTCAATTTACAATCACATACTTATTTAAACTAACAAACATGCAAGTTAAGAAAAATGCACCTTCATATATATGAGGCCTTGTACACTCAGACACTTTCACTAATAACACCATTCCTTAAAAAGTAATTTGGGAATATATTCTGGTAAAAAAAAAAAAAGAAGAGGAAAAGAATAGAAGAGATCTAAAAATAATAGTTCAAAACAAAAAATAATAAAAGAAACTTCTAGGATGAAGCTGGTAGGGTGGGCATAAGGAGTCATCAGGCCACGTGGTCATTACCAGAGGGAGAAGTGGGAGGGGACAGGTAGGAGCAGGCAAAGGGGGAGTAAGTAGTGACAAAAAGACACTTTTAACGTGGGTGGTGAGTGCACGGTAGAGTGTGCAGATGATGTGTTACAGAGCCGTACACTTGACTGGTACAGCTCTGGTCACCTGGGTCACCAGCTGTACACCTGGGTGACCAGTGTCGCCACCATAGATTCAATTTAAAAATTAAAAAAAAAAAAAAGAGTTATCAAGCCAGAACAAAATGGAACACTGTAGAGATTCCCAACCAACCCACATTGGCTGGCATTTGGAATAAGATTGCATATGTTTATTGATAGCACTGATTATTTTTCAACTGACACACTCAACCTGTAAGTAAGTTGTTCAGGGCTCAGATAGGTTACAGAAGAGTAATCCTGTAACATGTAGGGTTACATACGGGGAAGTAAACTAAGGGATAAAAGTAGACACACAAAAGACAAGCACTACAAAGTAAAAAAAAAACAGAGAACTATGGGAGCCGGAAGGTGGGTCCTAATATTTTCAACTTATAAAGGGAGTCATCAAAACATTCTAGCTACTAAAGACAAATAGGATGTGTGTTATTTAAAAGATACAGGCTAAGCAACGCAGGAACAACTATAATGAATTTGGGGGGAGCAAGAAAATAGAGGCTACGCCGTGAGTTCAGTCCTTATTTTAGGGCAGAATAATCTATCGATTATGAAAAGTATCGAACATCAAGACATTTAGTATTATTACAGCAGACACTCTCAGCCCCTTTCCCAAAGTCCTCTGGGCTTTTCTGTTGTCCTCTGATCCAGAGATCTGCCACCTGCTTGTCTGTGCCTCAGCGCTCCCACCCCAGGCTGCTCGCCTCACTGCTGGGACAGGTGGGAACTACAAAGAAATTAGCCACCACCCCGAGCAGAGCTCACTGCTGCCTGACTGATGGAAGAAGGTGTCCAAACAACGCATCTCCTTCCATCAGCAAGTGGGGATTTCTGAGGTGTGTGTTGGATATTTTTCCTAGATTGTTCCTGTAAGATTAACCTCCACTCCCTCATTATAGTGACTAACCTATCAGCTGTCTCTCCTTCCCTGTGCGTCTTCCTCATTTTCTCTTAAATAAACTACTTGAATTTCACTCCTTGTCTCAGGATCTGCTTCTAGGAGAAATGCAAATTAAGACATGCTTGTAGATATGAAATCCACCCACTAGAATTTAAATGATTTATCCACTGTGGATAAGAAGTAAGGTAAGGATACTGCATTGCATTGTAAGCCCTTCAGTACCATTTGAGTATAAAAAAATATTCCTATTTTGATGTATGAACAGATACTTATTGACAGATAACAAAGATAGTAGGTAGGTAGATAGATAGACAGATAGCAGGAGGGTCTATAATCACATGTGCTAACTAATCCAGAAAGTTTATAAAAACCAGTGAGAGAATTAAGCCCATAGTTGACCAATTCGAAGCATTCCCCCAAACACCAATGCCACCAGGCAGATTAGATGAAATATGACTCATTCACTATGTTTTTTTGTTCCTGTACCCATGGTATCCATGCCAACAAGAGGCATAACAGGCGGATGTAGCACCTGAAAAATTTCTGCGCTCACAATGCAGTTTACCCTGTAGTGCTCAAATTCACTTCAAACTGTTTCTTATTAAACATTCGTTATGTTCTCAGTACAGGCTCCTGCCAAAATCCAGCTCAGTTTCTCTAACTTTCGAATGGTGCCAAAAGAAATCAAAACAGTAACATCTTTCTCTGTCATCCTTATATTCCTGAATTTCTTGCTGACCGAGACACACACAGCTTGCTGACTGAGTCATGTTTGCCTAATTCTACTGACTTAGTCTATTTCACTTACACTGATGTAATGCAAACTACTTCCAAACACACGGGCTGTTTGCTTATGTATTTCCCTCTGGCAATCCTTCATTCAAGCACATTTTACGTACTTCTCACTTAACCTAATAAATATCTATGCGCCAGAATGATAGTTTTATCTTCTAATCAATATTAAAATATGGTCTTCTCATATTTTATGTTAACATTGATTTTCAAAAAAAAACTTAGCCAATCTCTCAGGGACCCCTTCCAACTCTCATACACCTGGCATGCAGCAATATGCAGGTATATTACCTGTCTAGGGCTATTGAAACCCAGTTTGAAAACTATAGATCACAAGGTCCATATGCAAGAGTAGTCCTTGTTCTTTTGAGTAAGTTTAAGATGTTACAAACTTTATGTCTGGCTGATGGATTCTAAGTTGTTACAAATAACTTGCAAGACACTTACAGAAGCAAGTCAGATCTTGGGCTTCTGAATGACGTTCTGTTGCCATCGGCTTGGCTTTGCATAAACACCAAATTTTTCACTGAGAACTGTCTTCACCGTACAGTGATGCTTTTAAATTTTACTGAACACATTGTGTGTGTGTATCACACAGCAGTCAGCTGACCCCCTCTGTGACCTCATTGCAGATAAAAACCATTGCCTTAACTTGATCATCAATTTGATGAAACATTCTAGGCAGGGAGGCTGTTTTCTCCTTAGGTAACAGAAGCTCCCTCAATGCCGAGTCCCACATGTTTACTGAAATCTTGCCAAGAAGAAGACATTAGGGGATCAGGAGAGACACAGACCCAGTCTTGAGGACCTTTCAGAACTAGACACAAGGGCTGACAGTAATTAATAAAAATATACAGTCCCTTAAAGGTAAAAAAGAATTATGGCATGCAATAATAATGGGTCTGGAAGACCAGGGAATTTCTCTGAGACCTGCGGGAGAAAGAGACATTACCGACAGGAAGTGGAGGATGCTGCTGATGGCAGAAACAATGTTCTGAGGAAGGGAAACCACACGGCAAAGTCCTGAGACAAAGGCCAGAGGGGTCTCGAAAAAGGATCACAGACCAGACACTGAGGACGAACCTACAGCAGCCAAGTATATTTTGTTTTTATAGCACAGTATTTTGTTGCTTTTGTCTATTAGCTATTGGCCAATATTTAAATGTGACAACACAGAAAACGCTGCATATCTGCTTTCATTTGGAACATCAGAAGGGGGAGTATTAGAGCCCCAGCCCTGACACGGCACAGACCGGCTGCTCAGCACCAGGCCAAGTTCGAGGGTCATCCTCTCTTCCTTTCGCCACAGTCCACACGCCCCACTGTGCATTCACAGACGTGCTTGCCTGGGCCATTGCATTGGTAACTGCTGCTCCAGTGTATGCGTGCCATGAACAGGAGACTTTAGTCTAGTTCCTGTCACCACGGTGTCCTCATTAGAGAACCCAGAACATGAAGTGAGCAAAAAAAAAAAAAAAACAGAGAAAAAGAAAAAACTATACTCAAATGTGAGGACACAAAAGAAAACCTAGCCTTATGCACCAAACAAGAATGACTAATAAGACCTAACAGAATCTCAATAAATCCTTGCTTATATTTAAGTAGAAAGATAAAAAGGCCTTGATACCTGTTTTCTTTTGGTGAGTGCATACCAGTCAATATTTAAACAGACACCTATAACATAAGCATAACATTCCCTGCCACTAGAACCTTAAAATTCTGATTTGAAAAGTATACCCAAAGCTCTACCTACAGATTCTGCATTTTCATATGTACCACTCTTCTAACATGGTCAAAGCGAGGTGTGTTGCCATAGAGAAATAAATGTGCTAAAAAGAAGGCAGGGAGTCAAAAACACACAACTAAATAGGTATCCAAAGAAACTTTTATTTTTATCTGTTCTGCAATAACAAGACAAAGAAATAGTTGTATGTATTTTCAAATGCGATTTTTAAAATATATCATGATCCATTTGATCTTGGGATCAAGTAGAACCTACTGATCTGCTCAAATTAATGGGCTCATGTACCTAATGTTACAATATTTGAAAAATACAACCTGATTTAAAATATATCATACTAAAAAGTTTATGGCGGGCCAATTTATTAACTATGGAGGAAAAAGAAAATAAATATGTTACACATACATAAAAGCTATAAAACACTTCCAAACCATAGAAATGTTATACTTTTTCATTCACGTTTTAAGTCAGAAATATAACTACATTATCCCCTTAATCCTATTTTAAATGAATTCACTTATTATAAAGTATATTAAAGGTACTAACAAAAACATGGCTTATGACCTTTTTCTTCCTGTGCAGATAGGGTGATATTTTCAAAATGATAATTAGAAAGTGTCCGTCTCTTGCTGAATTATCTTCGACAAACTCCTGCAGCTCTGAGACCAGGTCTGGACACATCACCAGGGTACTAACAACCTAGTCCCAGTCTGTTACAGCCTCTCCCTCGCACTCCCACCCCACACCCCCCACCCCCACCCCCCCCCCCTATAAGTTGTACTACAGTCGCCCTGATGTCTGTCTGCTCCTCGCAGGCATCTGGCCTTGTTTTGTCACCAGGAACCTGTGCCTGCTGTCTCCTCAACCTGGAATGTTTTTTGAAACACTTTCCCAAGTCTAACGCGTTGTTACCGTTCCCAGCTCAAACGTCACCTGTAAGTTTCAGGGACACAACCCGAACTAAATAGAGACGCGTTTTCTGGGTCGTCAGGCCAACAGGGGCCATGTTCGCTCTGAGAAGCCTGCTCTGCCTTTTCCCTGCCCTGCCTTGCAGGTTCGGAACAGTGGAGTTTTGATGGCTGGTTTTCCCAGTTCCCAGATCAGAGGCTTCTGGCTGCATGTGGACAATGGAAGGGACCAACGGGGTTGGAAGTCCAAGGGAAGAGGTGGCATGGGGCATTTCTGGACGTGGACGTGTCTACTTGTGGATGTAGCACCTTCAGACAGGCCCGGGCGGTCCCGGCGTCCACCAGCCTCTCGGACTCCTGTTTCTGGTAACGGAGCCCACTCTCTCGGTCCCTCTGAGAAACCCGGTGCCTAGATGTCAATTCTGCTCAAACTTTAATTGGGTTTGTTTTTAATTCTCCACCTTCCAAGGTGGTGAGCTCCTGTCCCACGAAGGTTCTTTTCTGAAATTTCTCATTAATGATCTGTCCCGTAAAGGCAGAGAAGTTGACATATTGCTTTCTCCACGGACACCTCCTCAAAACACCTGCGGACCACAGTGACGCACCTACCATGTCCTCTCCCGCCATGTGAAGAGGCCCATTTCCTTAAAACAGGATTCTTCACATGTTAGCTCCAAGATCACTTTCAGTATTTAAAAAAAATCCCATGTTTAATGCATCTAACTTTGGCTTTTGTCCAAAACTATGATTAAGAATGAGCTAAATGATGTCTGAATCCTGTGGTTATCCTTAGGAAATACAAATTTCCTCAGGAATAAATTGTGCACATAAAAAAAAAAGCAACTTATTCTTTCCTCTAATGACCTTTTTGGGACACGTCCGAGTCTGGTGCCTTGCTCGGTCTTGCTTGTATCAAGATGTGGATTTCAATGTTGAGCCCTCAATAATTTGTTTCCATTGTTGACTCCATGTCCTGACCTTCACTGTCCACTGAGACATCCACAGTGTAGTTAAACTCTCTGTATTCTTGGACAAACACGCCCTTACCTTCCAGACTCCTGGCATCTCTGGGATGCTAAACATCAATACATTGACAGCTATGCTGAGTCAAATAAAGGTTCAATTTAAGAACTGAATGTCTCAGGATAGGTTAATATAAAAGCATAAAGTGTTTTATAACTCTGATATGGGGATATTTTCAATGTGCGAAACATATAAGGTAAAAAATTCATTTGCTTTTGAAACGAATTTGGGGAGTGATGGGAGAAAGAGCCCAACGTGCAGGGAGGAAAAGTCCTCTTCCTTTCCTCCCTTTGCTTCTCCTTTTGGCTTTAATGAAATCATATTTACTCTAGTTATTCAGGCCTCTCTTCTTTTTTTTTTATTGCTAAAGAGATTCTCTGAGTATCCTAAAACGGGGCCCAGCCCTTCTGGAATATCTCCACCCCAGTCAACCCCCTTAAAAGCCACTGATTCTCAGAGAGTTGGCATTTTAACATATGTCAAAATGCTTTTCCCCTTTAAGTGATTTCATTATGATCCTCTTTGCTGTTATTTCAAGAGCAGACACTGCCACCCCCGTGACCTCCCATCACTCATCTTTCTGCTAAGACTCCCCTGCTCCTTCCATATTTCCAGTTGCCATCTGGTCCTTTCCGGTACTACTTCAATGTACATGCTCAAAATTAAAGTCATGTCCATATCCTGGGTGTGGCATTCTGACCGATGCCTGTTGATACACTGAACCTCCTGTGCACCAATGCAAAAGTACTTACACACACATGCACTTCCACAGACTTCAAAATACCCGTGGGTCTCTATTCAGTACAAGGTTCTCAATGTCCCTTATGTATTCCCCAGGGATAGAGGTGAGCCATTTGAACCTCACCAGTTACAAAAGTGAGCTGGGCTACAGAAATGCTGGCCACGGGGTGGAGTCCTGCAAAAACAAAGATGGCCTCCACCACCAGTGAGCAACCACAGTCCTTCCTGGGCTATCTCCTTGGATCGCCAGCCAAAATGTGGGTAAGTTGCCTCATATTTGTTCAGCTTCATCCTATGAAGAATTAACTAATGAACATCGAAGTTCAACTCACCCCCCTCAACCCCTGGACAGTGTCCAGAGCCCCTCGCCAGTGGGGAGAGGGGTCAGCACAGCCTTTTATACATGGACCTTAGATGTGTATAATCATGTGAGCTTATATTATTAATAGGAACTCACATTTTTAATAGGAACTGACATTTTAAATTTTTTAAAATTTTAATCATCACCCACAGACATTTTTTTCATTGCATCTTTTTAGAGAGAAAAGATGGTGGGGAGAGACGTCACTGTGAGAGAGAACATCCAGAGTTGTCTACCGTGTGTGCTCCCAACCAGGAATCAAACCCACAACCCTTCCGTGCACAGGATGATGCTCCAACCACGGGAGCCACACCAGCCAGGGATAACATATTGGTGGTTTCATTTTAGGAAAAGCAGGTATAATAACAGGGGTTACCACAGTGATACTACTTTTGTTCAGAGGATCCTAACTAATCCTTGACTTTCACTGGGAAAACATTTGTCATGAGTCTGAGGGCATTTGGCCCAAATATTGCTTGTTATTGTAAACAAGGGATACTTTTCTGGAGTTAAACTGATAGAAGTGGCCCACCTCTGGGGAGAGATGGGAAGGACTGGGGACTTATCCTTGCAACTGAGGAGACTTAACGCACCTCGGCGCCCTGTAGTATCATTTGGTGCTTTCTCCCACTCCTGATGGCTTCGCATGCTTCCCTTTTATACTTGATCTTTCTCGGAAACTAAATATAAGGGATTAAATGAGAATGTCCAGGAAGGCAAATTATTTATATGATGGCAAGAAATTCTGGCACCTTCTGGTTTCATGATATATTATGTAACATGGCCTATTAGAAAATAACACATTTTAAAGACCATACCAGTCCATCAGTATCACTTGATTTAGAAAATTGAGGTTTAAAAACTAGAACTCTTCTAATTTTACATCACTAATAAACAGCACCGAGAGGATACAAGTCCAAATATTCCTGATTCTTGGATTATTGCTTACTTTTCTGCCCCACATGGATAATGTTTATGAACAAAGGTAGAAGCAATTAAGAAAAATTCTAAATTGGTTTGTCATCCCATAGACAAAGGCTGGGTATAAAAATAAGCATCACTTTTTGTTTCCAATAATAACCAACTTCAAAGGGAACCATTTCTGCTACATCTTTTTTTTTTTTTTATAATACAGTTTAGGGGATATCTGTCAAGCCAGAGAAATATATAATAAAGCAAGCTCTCCTTCCATCCCAAACCACAACAAAGAAATGAATCATGAATAGAAATGTTAACATCAAACGTACCCACTGAAAAGTAATAACACTACAACAAGATAAGGCCATTTACATGAGTATTTCATAAAGATTTTCCTCCTGAGATTCTTACATGATCTCTTTCTTCTAAGCTTTGATTTTTCTCAATTTAAAAGAAAGTATAGTGATTAGTTGCATTGCCTTTGAGAACCAGATACATATTTATGAAAAATGTCTTAAGTATATCTATGTAGAGATAATGTACAGGGAGAACACAGTTATTCAGAATCATAATCTCATTTCTGTAGGGCGCATCTATTGCACCAGGAACCTACTGTAGTTCTTTTGAAAGGTGGGCACATTAGCTGCATTAACATTTGACTCTGATTTGCAGCTTTTGTATTTCAGGTGCCTCAGAGAAACCCTCCTGATTGTGACCCGCTTTCATGAGCAGGAACGCCCGTCGTGTTGCCAACCCAGACTGATTCGAGCACACAGCTTATAGCTTAAGGTTGCGGTGGGGGTTGGTGTTGCATCCTCCGGTGTTATCCCAACAAGAAGTCCCAGCATCCTCGTAAAGATCCCCAAAGTGACCTCGTTTTGCCTTTTCACTATATGCTTCCTTCTACTCAATGCCAGGTTCATTAAGCATTCTGTTATGTTTCCGCTGTCATGGCCAACTTGTCCCGTGATATTCCTCTCCTAGACCCTTCCTCGACTAGTGGGAGCCAGGAGTAGAATTATCTTTTCCAGGTTGACCTGTTTCACTTCAGGGAATATTTGAGAGACTGTCCCAGTTGCCCATCCATTCTGTTTGAAACCACTTCCCGATCTGCTTTAGCTCAGACTCCACAACCAATGCCAGCAGCACCCCCCTAGACTCTCAGGTCACTAATGGAGCCACCCAGACCTTCTCAAGGAAGGAGTCAGACTGTTCAATGCACATGGGTAGAACAAGGCTCTTCTGCAAAACGAGGCTGTAGGATGGAAAAGAGATTTTCAGAAACCACTAGAGGAGGATCGGCAATACTTCCTCAAATCCTAGAGCTCACCAAGATTTCTGGAGCACATCTTGGTACCAGCTGGTAGCCAACGGGCCAGAGGCACTATATACATGTGGTAGCATTTTCCAAAAATGTCCCTATCAATACATATCACATCCCCTGGGCTTTTCTTACAGTGCAATGTTGAGGTGCCTCTACTGAGAGGTGGGAGCTGCATTCTTTCTCCATGAACTGAGGAGACCTTTGTAACCACCTTGATCATTAGAATGTGGCAAATGCTGAGTGACTGACTGGGCTAGTCCATAAGAGATGACATGGCCCTGGTAGCTCTGCTGCCCTAGGCTGATGTGTAAGAATGCTGCCTTCTCGGAGCTGCCTGGCTTGTGAGACCATGTGAGGAGACAGAGAGATACATAGAGATGCTTTGAGGAGTCCACATGGTTAGAGCCTCCAGCAACTTGAACTTTCCCAGCCCACACACTAGACATGAGTAACCGCATCTTCACATGATGCTAGTCCCCTGCTTTCCAGTCATGCCAGTAAAACTGACCATTTCATGAGCAACATAAACATTGCGAAAAACTACTAAACTCGAGGATTGCTTTGTTAGGAAGGCATAGTAACTAGGACAGACACAGTCTCTGGTATTCCCAGTGTGTGCAGAAATTTAATTAGCTGCCAACCAAATTTGCATTGCACTTCAAAATCTCAATATTCAGTTCCTTGAAAGGTCAGAAGACCTGTCAGCATTGAGCTGATATTCCAACACAGCA